GCATTGGTGCTGGTGTGGGCAACTCGGCCGGTAACCAGACCAACTTCGTGGACTACTTCAACAAGAGTTCGTACCGCCAGGTGCTCGACAGCGAGATGGCCAAGGAAGGAGTGACCGTCCCGTCGCCCGACCTGCCCGAGATGGTGTTCGCCAAGAAGCGCGCGGCCACGTCGGCCTCGCAGATGAAGTTTGTGGTCACCCGTTTTTTCCAGATGTACCGGCGCACCCCTACGTACAACCTGACCCGTGTGATCCTGGCCGTCTTCCTGGCGCTGCTATTTGGACTCGTGTTCGTGGATGCAGAGTACGATTCGTACTCTGGTTTGAACTCGGGCGTCGGGATGATCTTCCTCGCGACGCTATTCAACTCAGTGGTGGCCTTCCAAGTGTGTTACGTCTGTCATGTGTCGAACGCGCCTCGTTCTACCGTGAACGCGCGTCTCAGACGTACAACGCCTTATGGTACTTCCTGGGCTCGACACTCGTAGAGATTCCGTACTGCTTCTCTTATTACTTTCAAGTTTACGTAAGACATTGTATCGATACACCATAGGTGTGTCAAAGATCCAACTTGGTCGATTATCAAACATCCAAAATGGCACCAGCGTTTCAGTCTTAGGAGTTTTCACCACGATTTCATCTCTTGCATACTTAGCACTAAACGAACTGGTTCTGTTAAACATTTCAATTCCTTGATTAACCGTCCATCTACACGTATCCATATAGGATTTAGCTAACTTACGTTGCTTTCGCGTGAGTTTGATTCTGTATTTCCTGGTTCGCTTCATTACCTGAGTTGTTGTTTCTTCCTCCTGACTCTTTTTCTTCGATTTTACTATCCCTTTTACAGGTTTTGTATCGTCGACGTCCCATTTTTTTTTTACATGAGAATACTTGTATAATCGAGAGTATATCGTCTGCGAGTTCGTTATCGATGTTTGGTCCAAAACCAAGATTTCTGAACCAAATTGCTTGAAGAAGAACTCAATGAGTTCGTAAGCAAATCTACATAGTCTATCCCTGTGATGAATGACAACGGTTCCGACATCTTCTTCGATAACCTGTTGTATAAGGGACTGGAGACCTTTACGTTTCCAGTTAATACCTGAACCAATATCATCGATAATGATAGCATTGGGATATTCTTTCTCGCATACTAGTGATCTGTCTTTGTAAATCATCTTTTTGATGTCTGGAAGAGACGCGACAGTAACAGATTGTTTTCTTTTGAAAAGAAGTATCCATACCGCTAGAAATATCGTTGGGTGCTTCTTTTCCAAGAATCGAGTTAATGTCGTACAATCGGTGACCTTTATCCCCATATCTAACAGAAGCAATTTTACCGCTATCAGCCCATCTTTGTAAAGTGTCACTGTGGACTTGGAGAAATCTTTTGGCGGTAGCTGAACGAACATACGTTGGTTTGTTGTCATTGTTATTTGTTGACATGATAAGATTCTACTCATATATTTCTTATAAACAACGATCAAAATTAGTTCTCTGGATATTTATATCCAGAGTTTTAGGGGGGATCGGAAAGCGTCGACGATCCTGTCAAATAACATTTTTATGTATATATCTGTAATTATTTGAAACCTAAGAGCGAATATTTATATACTATAATGACTCAGAAACTAATAAACTGTTTTCTTGTATGCCCACAAGGGTGAATGTTGACCCAGTCGGCCTAGAACAATATTCAAGCAACCTTGTACGAATGTAATCCAGTCACATTCAAGCTACCTTATGGCTTCAACTTAGGGATCGAAGCAACTAGCAGTTAGTAAATACAATCACACAAATGTCATGCGTCCAGCTTCAGATATACATGCATCTCGATGAAGCACATGTACTCAATACGAAATTAACACTGCGATACGATTGAAATTGATTTAGAGACGGCAACCATCAAATTCTCAACTAAGAAAAGTAAAACAAAAAGTCCAATTGTCGCTGGCGAAGTGGGGGGCCATCCTTATTCGCGCTTCAGTTTCTTCCTATTGACAAATATTATATTATTAAATATTGAGTATCCAAATATCCAGAGCTTCCCGGGCGCAGCACGGCATTAGTATACAGTAAATAGTATACAAAAAACTACCTAATGTTATCCATCTTTATAAAGAATTCCATTAACAGTTAGTAGGCCTTAGAAGTAAAAATAAAAAGCAAAAGCTCATTTCTTAACATGCTAGAGCAAGAATTAGCTGACATAACTAAACGCGGGAATAGATTGAGTGACCTGCCTAGCCACAGACCGCGCCATCTCAATGTCGGGACCTAGCATACTGGCGATATCATAGTATCGTTCGATGCTCTCACGAATCCCGCCACTGTCACTAGCCTCTGCGATAGAGGGCAAAACATTTATCAGCTTCAGTCGCTTCACGGGATCTTGGAAGCATGGGAGCTTAATCTCCGTACCAGCAGGCAATGATTGCGCCAGGAGTGTCCTGATCACTTGGAAAGCTTCGCCTGGTTTCTTAATGATCGCTTTGAGGATCGTGCCCTCGGAGACCCAGAAGAACTGCCAATTGTCGGTTAAGTCAGTAAGTAGTGCCATCACTGGGTCTTTGACGAGCAGATCTAAAGCGATCAGCTGTGACAGCGCCTGGTAGACGGAGCCTCGTTTAACCTCCCTCTTCACTTCAATCACCAGTTGCGAGGTGCTACAACAACGCTCTGTCGGAGCCTCTTCACGCCAGGCAAGAACTCCACTTCGGACGGGTGCCCATCGATGAGATCACTGAGTATGAGAAGATCAGTGCGTCCAACGAGCTCAATGTCGCGACCAGGAATAGAAACGCTGAGGATGTCTTGACCTTTTTCCACGCCGACCACGCAAAGCTACTTTTCTTCTAGTACAGCGCCAATGTTGCGTTCCACGTACTCGCGATATCGTTCTCGCTGCTGCTCCTCGGTGAGCACGATCTCTTTGCTGCATTCAATGATAACGCTCTCCCACTTGTATGGATCAACCGAAGACCCCTCTCCAGCAGCAAATGGAACTGTGCGCACACGTTCCACCTGAACGTCCAAGTCGTTCAGAAGCTGCCTGCCTTGGGTCGAGCCTACCCTCGAAAGGACATATCGTTTACGTTTCTTCCCCACCGTCACAGCGTGAATTTCTTTGATCATTGTATCCGGGGAATCCTCATTAGCTGAAACAACAGCACCCTCCCGAACCACCACCAGCACGTGAACTTGGCCTTCCCCCAGTTGAAAGCTCTCTCCAAAGTACTTGGCGTTCTTCAGCCACAGCGACGGCATCATCTTCTCAAAGCCTCGCGGGTGCCCATGCTCATCGAGCACCACAGATTCCGCGCCAGCCTCAGTCAGCCGCGCGCCGTCCTTCTTCGCCAGGTAGACTTGCAGCTTGTCGGCTTCACACTTGATCGTGTCAGGCTTCTTCACCTTGATCGCATCCTTTACGTCATCCACCGAGTCACTCATGTCCACTCGCACCGAGAACACGCTCCCCGCCACACCAACGATCGCACAGAAGAGCTTTACCTCGAGCTGGCAGATTCTTGAATGAGAAAGGAATTTCTAACCGTACTTAAGCGGGACCATATACCTATTTCGTCCAATGAAAAAAATGTTTCAAACAAGGGATACATTAAGCGGCATCATCTCTTGGATCGTCATACATCAGTGCCTTGCATAGCTCCATCCGCTTCAATAAAAATCGCCAGAGAGGATCAGCTTCAAAAGTTGAACGGTGCGCCACAATCATCAAATAATCACTAACGCGACTGAGCATTGTAAGAATATGATTGGGAGTGTTCAAGAAACCAACTTTGTCAGTTCGAACCATGCTGATCAAGCTGATAGCAGTCTCTTTTCCTTGACAAGAGTCAGTAGTGAGGCATCTAACTTCCAATTCATTGGCTATGCAACACTTGACGTGTAACTCCTCGTTCCATTCATAACAAGAACGCCTTAAAAGGTCGATCAGCAGCTTCAATTGCGCTTGATATGGAGTGATGACGAACACCGACCAATTTGGTTCAGTATTGTTCCACTTCTGTTTCTTGTGTCTTGCAATACTTTGGAGCTTCTCGATAATCCACTGCGCCTCAGCATAATTCGTTTCACCATCTTCTCTTCCATTTATGAGATTTGCCAGTAGAGCCCGCTGACTTCCAATAGCGCAATCTCGTAAACCCTGCATACCGTTTAGCAATCCAGGCTCGCGGAACTTCTTTCCAGTAGTGATTTTAAATGGATTGAAGGCTTGAAGAATATCTATAATCTTTTGGTGACATCTATGCTGAATATTTAATCAAATGTGAAGACTCTTAGCAATCTTTGTTGGGCCAAGATGCTGTAACGAAAAGATTTGTTTGATCATTTTTGTCGTCCAGGTCAATCTCGTTTGCTGGTTGTGTTTTTTTTTGCGCCAATTTCTGACTTGGGCTTGGGACGCGGCCATGGATCTCGGTTCTCTCTTAGCACTTTTCATTCGGCGGCAGTACTCTTCAAACAGCGCGTCAACGTTTCTTTCCTTCATGTTCTCACATAACTCCACTAGAATCGCGCTTTCTTCCGCTTCCCAATGTAATCTTGTTTTCATCGCGTCGTTGGTTTGGAGAAATTCAAGTAATCGATTGTCCAAAGTCGAGATTCTGTCCAAAGTCGTTACCGGTATAGCTGTGTGGTATCGGGTTTACCGTATGATAGATATTTGTTTGAGATCGTGATGCAAACGCAAAACTCAGAAGTGAATCGAGTTATGAATGAGTCTCCTTCGCAAGCTTCAGTATCTATGTCATCACCACGGAACAAGCATTCGAAAAGCAAAAAGTTTCGATCAACAAAAAAAAATATCACAGAAAACAAGCTCGGTGACGGAAAGAACGCTTTTTCAAGTACGAGTCCACGGAAAAAATGTATAACCATGAAAAGCTGGAATGCTTGCCAACCAAGTTAACTATTTCTAGCTAACTCTATCGTGAGCTCGCTGTAACTCGAGTTTAAAAAAAAGACAACGATTCTTATCTGTGGATGGCATGCACTGTCAGTGGTTATCGACTCGGTCCTTGGGCGCGTGCTTAAAGCTTGAGTCTCCATGGTGGGAGATAGTGAAATAAGCATTTGTTTTGGTGGTTAAAGCTCTTCTTTACGATTCTTTTGGAGCCATTGAACTACTTCGAGGTGGTTATGACGAGTGGCGCTGTTCATGACTCCGGTTGTGCACCCCTCAGTACGGTTAGCGTGTAACCATTGAACAATGTGAAGATATCCATTGGAAGCAGTCCGATCCATTGCATGCGCAGTACACCCTTCGGCGCGGTGTTCATGTAACCATTGGACTATGTGAAGATATCCATTGGAAGCAGCCCGATTCATCGCATGCGCATTACACCCTTCGGTGCGGTGTTCGTGCAACCACTGAACTATGAGGAGAGGTCCGTTCCACGCAGCGAAATCCATAGCACCAGTCGTGCACCCTTCGGTGCGGTGTTCGTGCAACCATTGTAATATATGGAGGAACCCGTGCCTGGCTGCGTAATCCATCGCCCAGTAAGTACAGCCTTCGGTGCGGTTCTCGTGTAGCCATTTGATGATCTCAGAATGTCCGTATCGGGCAGCCTTGTTCATGGCTTCGGTTGTGCACCCTTCGCTGCGATGCTCGTGTAGCCACTTGACGATGTCAAGGTGTCCAAACCTGGCAGCGTCATCCATGGCGTGAGTGGTGCACCCACCAGAACAATTCTTGTGCAAATATCGAAGTACTTTGAGGTGTCCGTGTTTCGCAGCATTGTCCATAAGCTTTGTCGTACAGCTCTCAGAACAACCGATGTGCAGCTCTTGAACCGCTTCGAGATGCCCGTTGATGACAGTTTTCAGCATGGATTGGCTCGTCTCGATCATGGTTGGTATAAATTCAGTTTTAGGAAATCAATTTTAATATGAACAGATTTTGGCGCCAAAAAAATCGAACAACTCTGGTCGGCGGCTTTTTTTGGCGCGAAAAAGTGGCACGGAATGAATGTAGTCATTGAAGTTAACGAGATATACGCTTGAACTCATCTCATTTAACAATTTGCAAGAAACAACAACAACGCACCTCCGTCTTCAACACGATGTCTTCAACAACACCTAAGATTGCTACTCTTTACGCGTGCAAAGATGACGAGATCCCCTGGAAGTGTTGTGGCGAGTTCAGCCCACCGGTTCATCGCTGAAAGCCCGAACCAAACCTTCATTCAAGAACGAGGGCGAGTTTAAGAAAGCGGTGGAGTTGCATCTCGACTGGTACAACCGTGACCCGACGCCGTTCGTCTCGTTGTTCGACAGCGAAAAACATGTCTGGAACTGGGCTAAGTACCACTTGGGACGTCACAACAACGACATTGTCCTCTTGAAAATTAAGGCGTCGGAACTGGGTTCGCTCTTTCGAGTGTGGTACTTGGTACAATGCAAACTGGTTCAAACATCGATACGCAAGGAATGGTACGATGAAGGGTTCTTGGTGCTACGTAAGATCCCCCGCCAAAGTATTATACAAACGATCCACATATCACAAATTGAAAATTATTCAAGCGAGGGCAGTGACATAACAAGTATTGACTCCGATTCCGACTCCGACTCCGATGTTAGCGATACCGTCGATGGTTGAAACAAATGTGATATTACTGAGAACACTGAAGCATCCTTTTTGATCTCTGTGAATATATGGACTACTTACGCCCCCCGTTAGCATCATGTAATTGGCTATGCGTTCTTGTAACGCATGTACTGCGGTACTTTTTTCTGTCTACGCTTCTTGCGCTACAGACCTCACCGAAATGCTCTCAGCCGTCGCGGTCCGTGGTTTTCCTTTCAGCACACTCCTTAGCAGTTCCAGCATGTACCTCGCTGTGTCGACACCTCGGCTTCGACAGTGGGTTGCATAACAGTACAAGACGCTTTTATTACAATAAGCGGCTTGAACTCATGGTCTCGAATCAGCCTTTCAAGCATCTCTGAGCATTTCGAGTATTACAAACCAGCGTCAACCTTGCCGATCCTGTTTACCAAAAAATTCAAGATCAGTATTTTGTTCACGGGGTAGCTTTGTGAGTTTTTGTATAAGGTGATACTCTCGCTATAAAAACGTAATATCACAATTGTCTTCATGAAGAGAACAAAGTGGTGTTCTATTTTTGTCTAATTTCATTTCAAAACCCTCAAATTTCGGAAATGGTGGACAGGAGAGAACACTATTCCTCCCTTGTTCGTTACCGTCCACTTTGCAAACTGTCGTAATGGCACCCGTACGTTTCGGCGATCTAAAGGAGTATGTGGTCCAGTCGTGCGACCAGCAACGTGGCTTGGCTGCTCACATGCGCCAGGCGGATGACAACTTGGGGCGGACGTTGTTTAAACGTAACGATCGCCAGTTCCTCAACAAGGTCATTCATGATGCTTCCATGGATCACCGACCAGAATATGACAAGCGACTCAAGCAACTCGCGAAGCTTATTGGGGTAATCGACGCCGACGCGACCCACCACGACGTGGGTACTGACCACAGGTTCAAGCGTCACGAACAAGAGAATCGGAAGCTTAAGCGTCAGCTAGAATTTGCGCTGACTGAACTCAAGAATTACCAAGACAACTTCACAAAGCTTAAGAGAGCGCTGGAGGATGTAGACTCTGAATTCGATTGTAGAGACTCTCAGCGCAAGATACTCCAAAACAACTCCACAAAGTTTCAGCGAGCACTGGAAGAAGTACGCTTTGAATTCGAGTGTAAAGACTTTCAGCGCAAGGTACGTCAAGTCCTTCAAGGCAACTCCATAAAGTTCGCATCAGCAAGGAGAAGGTGACCCGTGAATGGATAGCAGCTCAAGCCCGTGAACTTTTTCACAGCAGCAGGACGGAAGAGGAAGCTGAGGAGCACCCGATTCGCTTCACGGCATCCGATCCGTGGGTGTCTTCGTTCATGCAGCGCAATGGTTTCAGCCTCCGTCGTCGCACCAATCTCACTACACTAACCGACGAGGAGTTGGTGCGCCGCGCTGTGTCTTTCATGGGCTTCTTGGAGACGCACAAGGGTGAGATGAATCGCGATCGCACCGTGTTAATGGACGAAAAGGCTATCTACTTCGAGGACCCACGAGATCGCACTGTAGACGTTGTTGGACGCCGCCATGTGGTCATCCACTCCACGGGCTTCGCTTCAATGCGGATTACGGCTGCGTTTGCAGTGACTGCGTCCGGAAAGAAGCTGCCTCCGTGCCTGATCTGGAAGCGAAAGACGCGTGGCCCGATTGAGCGTCTTGGAGGGTGCTACGTTTCGGACGGTGTTATACAACAATAGAACGCCGAGTACTATTCGGTATTATACGTTAACTTGATAGTTGCTTATCATGAAATCAATGATATACTAATAAGCGTATATGCATATGGCCTCCTGTAGCGGCGAAATTTTTTGAAAGAAAGCTAAAAAAAATGAAGCAGCTAGAAGCTATGGAAGACAGCTCTAAGAGCGGTGCAGCCGGGCGCGCACGTTTTCGTCGCCGCGGCAGTTCTCGTCAGTGCGCGTGATCATCGCGCAACCGTAGATGTCGTCTTCATTGAACTTCTGCAGCAGCAGCACTTGATCATAAGCGGCGGCAGCCTTAAAGCCTTCGTCATGGAAGCCCTCAAGAAGCAGCTCAACAACAAAGGTTTCTTCGAGCTCCAAAGCATCACAAATGGTTATCGGCTTTCCGAAGTACATCCAGCATTCGCGGCATACGATCACTTCGCCGATCTTCTCTTTGAAAAGACGAGCGACTTCGCGTGCTTGATCAAGGCTTTCGACATCCCAAAAGAGCACAGCAACGTTATCAGGCATTGGCAACATAGCCCAATCGATATCCGCTGCGCGCGAACGCGATGCGTTGAGCCACATCTTTGATGCCAGCCAGGGCATCATTGAAGCTGGAGATCTTGCTGGAGCTGGTAGACATGTTCGAGTATATTTTTGACTGGCAGAAATCAATTTTGAGCAGCGGACAACACCGAGTATATTTTTGACTGGCAGAAATCAATTTTGAGCAGTGATCAACATCGAGTATATTCTTGACTGTCGGAATTCATTTCTTTCGAATAAAAAAATCAGCAGCGATCGGATACATTGCTATATTTTCGGGAGCAGCGGTTTGAAGGCCACTAACTGTTAATGGAATTCTACATAAAGATGGAGAATACTAACTAGTTTTTTGTACTATGTGATAGTTGATTATTATGATAATTTACTTGCGCACCCGCTGGCGTTTTTTTTTTACCTTGCTCGCGAACGTTCTCCCGTTTTCCTTCCACGCGCTCTTGGTGTGCTTGATTACGCTTTTGGATAGCTTATCGGCAACTTCAGGACTGGCGACGGTCTTGGTTTCGGAGATGCTCATGATATTATTCACTGACCGAAGAATACGTGGCTCGATCGCGTCCACCACTTGTCTTCGAATATGTCTCGGAGAATCTTTCACAAAATCAATCATGGCAGTATTGTGTCTCGTTGTAAGACGAGCCCTGCATCCGTAGGCGAGAGTTGTGCTTTCTTCCAACGCGTCCCTCGTCCGCTTTAAAACTGGAGTTGACTTGGTGAGCACGTCAGTCGACAGCTTGAGAGCAAACTTCGAGAAGTCTGTGAAGCGGTAACTAGCTTCCTTCAGTTGTCGCTCGTGGCGGTCGTTAGTTTCTTTTCGCTGCCATTCGTGGCGATCATTCGCATCGGCTAGAGCTTCCTTAAGCTATCGTTCGTGACGGTCGTTGACTTCCATTAGTTGCCGTTCATGACGGACGTTAGCTTCCTTGAGGAGCGTTCTTGTCTCCTCTAGCCCCTTCTGAAGAACAGCTACGACATCCATGGCGAGTTTCAGTTTTGCGTTTTGTTTGGCGCGAAACAAATACCGTCAAATCTCGTTTAGGTACGATATCCATGCGAACAAAAACAATACTTATTGTATATGTTATCTTTCGCGAGTAAGTCGGAACGCACGAATGTTTTTTGAAATGATACCACCGGTTATCAAAGAACATATTGCTGTATGTACAATTAGGATGATGCTTACCACATCCATGGTAGATTATAATATATCCAAACTACTTCCGGTTGATGATTTCTTTTGCATCAACGATCGATTGTACGATTTTGCATCCGCGGTTTTGATATGCTTTGGTCCGCTCACGTTGCTAGCCTTTTATTGGTAACTTGAAATCACATATATCGATGATGAGTCTTCGAATAGACTGGTCGGATCAAATCCTGAATACTCTGTTAATAATTTGCTTCATATTACTTCGTCGCGGTGTGGCTAACACCAAAGCCGGTACTAAAATAAGCATATGTTGTAAATATGACTGTACTTATGCGTTTGGTTTTATCAATGGTTTCTTCACTAGATCCTCCATATAGAATAACCTTTTTAGATGCTTCTGGTAACTCTAAAGTGGCTGCAGTTTTGTTTTGATTACATCTATCTTCGAGCTTTTCGTATAAATGTTCTACGTGGAATCTCCTATCACTAAACACAAATACAAAGTGCCCTTTTTCCATTAGCTCAACAGTGCTATCAATGATTAATGTATTCCGATGAGGATCGTTTACAATGGATTCAACGATAGATGAATAATCAATGATACCATTATCGTGGATGCTGAATTTGCAATGAGCATAGAGAGCATAATACTCTATAAGCTTTGCTGTGGATTTAAATAAGTCCTGTTCAATATTATATCCTGGTAATGACTCAGCTTCTAAAATAGGACCAAGCCATGATTGATGAATAATATCAAGTTTGTATTCCCGTATATCTGGAGTAGCACTAAGGCCAAGTGTATAACGGGAATGGATTCGACGAAACACCTTTCGAAATTCTGTTGAACAATACATTGTTGACTTTCATCCATAATAGTTAGTCCGACTTCTTTGAGTATATCGTCAATCTGTATTTGTTGGGTTACCCACGCATACTTCGCGGTTTTGCCGATTTTAGGTAATGGCTTTTTTTTTCTTTTTGTTTAAACGATTTAAGTTCTAATATCGTATTGATAATGGATACTATTATATCACCGTCCTTCTTTTGTTTTCCATATAGCGTTCCAATTTGCGCAGTAGGAAAGTATTGAGTCAGTAGCACTACCCACTGATCAAGTAAATATGTGTTGTGTACAACTATTAGCGTCTTCAGTTTCATTCGCCCAATGATATCTTTCGCATCAAAACTTTTTCCACATCCAGCTTGTTGCTTGATAGTAAATCGACCAAATTTTACCTCCTTGAAATGCTTAACGACATGATCAACCACAATCATTTTATTTGGGTTGCTCTTATCGATGTATTCAATCCTTTCGATACGATTAGATGAAGGCAATTGAATATCTACGCTAGTAAGAGGCCTACATGCAGATTCCTTTCCCTGATTCATCAATTAAATCAGTATGTATCGAGGAAACTCAATAACTTTAAACCATTAGCTCGAATGTCATGGTAATCACGACTTCAAGTTCAAGAACGCTCTGAACCAACACGGCGTTTCTTATGGTTTCTCCACATCCAACTGCATGGATCGACAATTACGTGTTTAGCATAGTTTAAGATGTGCCGGCGATCACGTCTGTCGTGCAAGCTGCAACTTGATGTTTTACAAGTTCAAGTACGGCAAGTTCAAGACCAGGGAGAGATTCGACAATGGTAGCTTAAGCTTTCAATTCATTCTCAATTTTGCCCTCAGCAGCTCAACTGAGTCTCAACAAGCGTGTAAACGTGACATCGAATCACTTTGTACAATTTAGTTTCCTTTCGCATCTTTGTGATACGATCAATAGTACGAATGGTATATTTGCGCAGAAGTTTAATTAAGGTTTTATTGCCATATAAGTCAGCATACTCACACGCATTAAAAGCAACTCCTGTTTCAGTAAGTACTGCTTTCATTGTTCGAATTTATATTTTATACATCTATCTTAGATCACTATACTTACTAAGTCATCAGCATCCATATTCGACATTGTGGCGAACGATGCTGGCTTTATTCGAAACTGCGTATATCCCTTAATGCAGCAAGCAAATATCAACATACCAATGATACCCATTACTATGCCGATAACTATCGTTATCGTATCAGGATTATACTGGTTTGCTTTCGTTTTTTGCGAGTCCGAAGAGTTTGTTATGGACAATGCTCCCCCATTACACGTCCCTCCTGAACCGGCCAAGACACCAGAAAATATTCCAGAGAAAGATCCTGGCGCTACAGACGTAGTTGTTGTACCTGTCGCTGATGCTGCTGGTGCAAGCACAACGGGTGGGTTTACAGTAGTTCTTGTTGTGCTAGTAGTTGAGGATCTTGCTGGAAACGAATCTGTTATTTCGCTTGTTGAACCAGTCGATCCTAATGTCGACGAGCTTGTAGTTGCACCTGTTGTTGACGGAAGAGAATTTGTAGTTGCGATAGTTGATGTTGATGAACTTGTTGATACATCCTCAGCTGGTGCACTTGCTGTTGTCACGTCAGTTGGTGATTCAATTATCGATGTGTCTGCCACACTATTTGACGGTATCGTTTCAGGTACAACAGGTGCACTTAGTGTTGATGTATCAACGCTTGGTACGCTAGCTGCCACGCTTGGTACTTTTACAATAGGTACGCTAGTCTGCGTATTGATAGTGGAAGGTATTGCATTTGCCGTAACAGTAGGGATAGATACACTAGGCGAAGTTGTACTCGTCGGACAGTATTTTTGGTATGACGCAGTGGATTTGTTTGCCGGGTTGCCACACCATTTGTCCAGTAATGCTTGCACCTCTATATATTTTTTCGCATACAAGTGATCTGTCTTTGTAAATCATCTTTTTGATATCTGGAAGAGACGCGACAGTAACAGATTGTTTTCTTTTGAAAAGGAGTATTCATACCGCTAGAAATATCGTTGGATGCTTCTTTTCCAAGAATTGGGTTAATGTCGTACAATCGGTGACCTTTATCCCCATATCTAACAGAAGCAATTTTACCGCTATCAGCCCATCTTCGTAAAGTGTCACTGTGGACTTGGAGAAATCTTTTGGCGGTAGCTGAACGAACATACGTTGGTTTGTTGTCATTGTTATTTGTTGACATGATAAGATTCTACTCATATATTTCTTATAAGCAACGATCAAATTAGTATATACTAAATAGTATACAAAAAACTGCCTAATATTATCTATCTTTATGAAGAATTCTATTAACAGTTACTAGCCTCTCTGTTTTTTTTCTAAGTTGTTGCGCAACTCATTCAATTCTCGAAACACAGCGTCCACCGTTTTGAATTTATTTTTATATATAATTAAAGTTTATTATATCATGTACGTTTTGCTTTTTTGTTCTAGTCATCTAGGATGGCATGAAGACGTCCTGCGATGCGATTTACGTCATCTCGGGTCGAACCATTCTCAGGAATTCCATCGCTGAATCGTTCGATTCCATCATCTGTGCGCTTGAGAAAGCGCCATTCCACATAGTTTGTAACCACTCCGTATACGTGTTCTTCATTGTTGATTTCCGCAGCGACTTCCATACCAAGAACGCTTTGTGCGGATCCTTTCTTGAAATTCCAGTCTTTTGCTTCCACAACACATACTGTCTTTTTACCACGACTGATCAAGAAATCCACCACACCATTAGCTTTCACAAAGGATCCAGCGAGCTTCGATTGAATCGATAGGCGCACTCGCTCAGAATCCTTGCCAGCTTTTTTGAACATGTGAACAACATGCTCGAAGATAGCACTCATGAATTGGACACGCGTCGCTTCATTTGTAGTTGGATCGTTGTATGCCCATGACTTCACTTCAAGAGACTTCATCAGCTCGTCCAAAGAGTTATCGTCGATGCCATTTGCTTCCGTCATCAGTTTATGAAACGGACCTTGAGTTACTTCTCCATCGTCAATACGAAATCGTTTTGGCAGTGACTCATACTCCACTGCAGAAAATGCAGTGTTACCATCTTTCCCTTGTTTCGACGCAATTGCGTTGTTCAGTATCGTCCAGTCACGCTTGCGCTTGGCTGGAATATTTGCGATGCGCTCGGCTTCCTGAAATGCCACATCAGCTTTCTGTTGTTCTTCTTCGATCTTCCGTTGCATCTCATGAACGACACGTTGCTTTTGGATTGTTGCCAGAATAAGCTTGTTTTTTTTCATTTTCGGGCATCTTCACAAGTACATGAACCACATCTTCGCCCAAGTCATCGTGGAAAACCTTCCGCAAGCGCTTGGTAGACAGAAGGGGCTTGGCAAGTAATTCTCTTGCCAGTGTCGGGTTCTCCAGTAACGTCTCGACTTTATCTGCACCAACCCATTCATCGTTGATACGCGCAGGAAAGAGTTTAATCTTGTTAGCTTGAACATTGGCTAGATCATCTGACTGTTTAACGCAGATAGCATCCTTCAGGTCATCGATCGTATCGTCTGGCGCCATTGATACAGAGAATGCATCGGAGCCAGCGCCTATCATCCAGCAGAATAGCTTCATCTTTTACTGAGGTACATGAGGGAGAACAATGTGTACCACACATCATTTGGACCGGAATCAGATTTCTCACTCTGAGACTCATGTGTACCGCACATCGTTGGAAACAGAATTAGATTTTCTACCATCGAGACACTGATATAAATAACTGAAAATGGGACTAAGGTGAAAATAAGATATTGCAGGTATTGCCAAAGGAATAAAGTACTTTTCAAACGCACCTCCATCGATGCCACTTTCCAAACACGATGTCACGGTTGCATTATTAGGATAATTTGTGTCGAGAGAAGATAAAACGTTTGGTTTCGCTCAGCTACTCACAATTTATGTGTCGCAGCCAGCCAGCAAGCTCAATAAATTATCACAATTTCAATAGAATCAACATAAATAACGGGTTATGGGCATTATTGACAGCAAAATAAATTATTTTATCGGTCAATAAATATTGCCTTTTCAGTATATTTATTATTCGGTATCCCTGGAAACAATGTTCACGTTCAACACACTCGACGTCCCGAAGGATTCAACGACTCAGAGGAAGGATTCTCCTTCGGTTTTGAACTGTTTCCCGAGTTTCTTCCGGTGTATCCCAATGAATTCAACAGGTTCGAATGGCAGGAATTTCATCGCTCCGCTGGGAATACCTGGTTACCCTTCACCAGCTGCAGCGTGTAACCCACTGTACACCTGCGAGGGATACTCTTGGTATACGATATATACGCGTTAGTAATAGTAATAAAGTATGACGTAGTTAATAACTGCGCAAGTACTATTTTTCAGTTTTTTTGTAAGCGCGGGGGGATGCGCGCGCTTAAATTTGCTTTTGAACCCCCACGTGTCATTGATCAAACGATGGAAGCGGTCGCAACCAGAACTCGGAGCGCTCAAAAGCGGAAAGCGCGCTTAAACTGTTCCCACGCGGAAGCGGAAGTGCACACGACTGTCCCCGAGCGGAAACGAAACCGTGCGGAGGCCCCCGCACGGGCACCCAAGCGTCCACGCCGGTAATTGTGTAGCAACTACCGTTTCTTTCATGATGATTGTAACAATTTTTTTTCCTGGTTAGGGAAACTTCCGATCAAGACGCTCTCGAGCGGATCGTGGAAGCAGCCTTCAAGGTCCCCGACGACGGCAGCGCGGTAAGCTACCTGCGGAAGGTGCTGTTGCGCTCGGCGTTCGAGATAGCTCGCCGCGCGGACATCGCCGAGGCAAATTACAAGAGAGTGAAGCTGGAGATCGAGAAGAAGGACGATGAGCTGAAGAGGGTCCGTCTCCTGCTTACAGCATCCAAGAAGCATGTGAGGCGGGCTACGGAAGCCCGGGGGCGTGCGGAAGCGGCGGCACGTCTTGCTGCATTTACATATAAAATATACCAATAAATTTATGTTTTCATTATTGACGTCGGTCGAGGTTACTCGTTCTTCGACGGAGGCTCGCCTCTGATTCAATAGGTCAAACCTGCGCCCCGAGGCACGATACAGACGATCTTCCGACACACTGCATTTGATGAGATGAGGAGACTGGGACTGCCAGGAGAGACGGAGGCGCTGGTGCGGCAACAATCCCCACAGGAGACAGGTATGACCAGGTCATTCAAGGAGGACCTGCACATGACCAGCTGCGGACAGGAGACGTGCTCATTAATTTTGGTGGACAGTATGGAGCGACATTTTTGACCGTTGAAGAGTATCTGGACGCTCATGTTGGAGAGACAGTGGAGGCGCAGTTCCAGCA